CGGTGTAGGTCCAGGGAAGCAGGGAGAGGTAAGGGCGGGGCCAGGTCCCGAAGCAGTGCTCCTGGAGCCCAAGGAAAACACCAAGCTGGCCTGGGCGAAAAGGATCAGGAAGCAGCACCGGTTCCCCAGGTGTCTGGGGACCCAAGACAAGGAATGGCGCAGGGCCCAAACCAGGAGCAGAGAACAGCGGGGGTGATGGAAGGGCAAATGAGGCCGGGGGAGTCAAGGCGCAGAGGGCTCCGCGATAGACCCACCCCAAGAGGCCTGAGGATAGGAGAGGGCATGTCTTTTTTTAATTTGGGGAAATTTTCTTCTACAGTCATGTTGAAGATCTGTTCCATACCATTATCTTGAGATTCTTCTCCTTCCTGTATGCCTATGATTCGTAAGTTTGGTCTTTTATGGTGTCACACAATTCCTGCATATGCCTTTGTTGTGATTTCTTAAATTTTTCATAATCTTTGCTTGAGTGGTCTAATTTGTCCACTTTATCTTCCAGTCTTGATACTCTGTTTTCCATTTCATTCTTACTATTTGTGAGGCTTTGTCCTGTCGTTTCTGATTGGCTTACCGAGTGTTTCACTCTCTTCATTTCGGCCTGAGTATTCTTCAGTACTTCTCTTTTCTGATTCATTCAGAAGTTTATCCCTGTCTTCCTTTGGTTTTTTCATTTCTTTGTGTGTTCTTTAAATTTACTGAATTCTTTTGTCATTTTTATAATTGTTCTTTTGAGTTCCATGTCCTGTGTTATCTCTAAGAAGTTCTCATTGTACTCCTCTAGAGGACTATTGGTATTTGGTGGGGATATATTATTTTGGGTTTTCAGATTATTGTTTTTTCTCTGTGACTTTGACATGTGAATTTCTTTTGTAGTTTCTGATTCTTGTGTGAGACTCAAGCCTTCCTTTGTTGAATTTCGATCTGCTTCTCTTTGTAAACTTTATGTCTCTTTGTGGTTTACTTGTTGGGCATGAAAAGCTGGTTGGTCTAGACTTCAGGTGCTCTCCTTTGATTTTGTATTGGAGTGGCCTAATTGCTTTTGTCTTCAGGAGTTCGCACAGAGGCCCAAGTGGATGAGGCTCAGATGCTATCAGGCTTTCTCCTAAGGTCTGGGTCCCTCCAGGAAAGATGCTGCCCTCAGGAATTTGGGGGCTGGGTTGGCGAGAAGGGCCCAGGTTAGATGCTGGTCTCAGGAAGGTGGTGGCTGTGCCACAAGTCAAGGGAGGTGAGGGCGAACCAGGCCTATAGTGTCCCTGTGGGCGGCTCGGAGGAACTGGGTTGGTCTGGATGCAGAGGATCAGGAAGCAGTGGTGGCTCTGGGCCTAGAGGTTAGCCCCCGTGTCTAGGGTGCCGAGACAAGAAATGGGCCTGTACCTAGGCTAGGAGGAAAGATGTGGAGGGGGAGCTGGGAGGGTGAAAGAGGCTGGGGGAGTCAAGGAAAGGTGGGCATGCTGGACTTACCCAGGGAAGGTGCTGATACCAGGACACTGGAGACTGTGCAGCCCAGGAAGCAAAGGGAGGTGAGGGCGGGACCAGGCCCAGAGGGTTCCTGGGTGCTGCAGGGTGGAACTGGCTTGGTCTGGATGCAAAGGATCAGGAAGCAGTGGTGGCTCTGGGCCTAGAGGTTAGCCCCGGTGTCTGAGGTGCCAAAACAAGAAATGGGCCTGTACCCAGGCTAGGAGGAGAGACATGACAGGGGAGCTGGGACAGTGAAAGAGGCTGGGGGGAGTCAAGGTGCAGTGTGCACCCTGGACTTACCCAGGGAAGGTGCTGGGACCAGGACACTGGAGGCTGTGCACCTAGGGAAGTAAAGGGAGATCCATGATCATCATTTTATAAAAGAGAAGGTATGTTTGTAATAAAAGGGTCAGGTGGCTATGAACTCAGAAGAAATGGTAGTACTTAAGTCAGATCATGTTAGCATTTTTAAAATCCCCGCATTTCTTTTTTTTTTTTTTTTTTTAATTTTAATGTCAATTGGTGTTAACATGGTAGCAATCAATACCAGTACTGATCACTGCTGTCCTGCAGTACCTGGCATAATGATTTACTTGATTATTCATTATTAGATTGAATATCTGAGGAGCAATCTAAGGCTCACAGAATTCCATCGCCCTTCTTAAGCCTGTTTTTTATACCTTATGGCATCCCACACTCATGGCTTTCTACCTGTATGGTGACATCGTTTATAACTGATTTATTTATCCTGGTGTGCTCCAACCCAGGAGTTTGCTTTGGGATTATGGCTCAGTACCCAGCAGACCCTGTACTGAGAAGGATTTGGAGGGGCTATGTGTATCTTCCTAGTCTGCACTCAAGCTTTCTCTTGTTCTTTTTAGCTTTCTAATTACCAAGCTGACTTTAGTCGGTGGTGGCATAAAGAAATGAAAGCAGTGAAGTTTCCATCCCAGGGAACCATCTTTGATTATTATCTGGACCACAAAACTAAGAAGTTCTTGCCTTGGACTGACAAGGTCCCCCAGTTCACCATGGATGCCGACGCACCTCTGAAGGTAGGTATTGGGAGAGTAGCAACAGCCCCCAAGAACCATTGTGCTCTTGAAGGGAAACAGACCCTCCTTTCTTGCCAGATGTATGGATTGCTGTTGAGATGTTCTGCATGTGATATTTTTCCCTGGGAGAGAAGCATCTCAACTACAGGAATGCTGATATTTATGCAACCTTTGTTTGTCCTTTATTTCAACTTAATTCTGTAGTAGTAGCTTTCTTTATATTCTCCAAGAAACTGAACAGCTTTTGTAAAATTAGAAGCATAGTCGGCTAATTCAATGACTCTTAATTCTGCTCTTATGTAAATCTCTAGACCTCATATACATTCCTTCTTTTACCATTCCAGCCACACAATGCTGCGCTTAATCGCCTCACCTTGTTTTCACATTCCGGTGACAGCCGACAAGTCAAAATAAATCTTTTTCTTCACTGTTTCTCCATAGATGTCCATTTCCAGTTCTCTTTGATTGAGTTGTTCTCTGGCACCTTATTCAGCCTCAATCTTTTTTCCTTTTTACTGTATTTCTTATTTTGATTCATTTCAGAGCTTGCTGTTTGAAGCAGTGCTGTATGAATGGCAGAGAGGTGACTGTTGCCACATCAGTGACGAGGCAGCTGCTGCCAAATAGCAGGAAGCTGACAGCATTAGTTTGAGCTCAAGATGTGGGGTGGATTTGTTGACGTCAATCTTCATTGATACTTTCCGTGTGTGTGTGTGTGTGTGTGTGTGTGTGTGTGTGTGTGTGTCTGTGTCTGTGTCTGTGTCTGTGTCTGCCTGCCTGTCTGTCTGTCTGTCTGCATACAGGTGTCTCCTCTGTTTGTATTAATTTGCTAGACTTGCCGTAACAAAGTGGAACACACTGAATAGTTTAAACAATGGAAATTATTTTGTCACAGCTCTGGAGGCTGGAAATCCAGGTGTGACACTGGCAGATTTTATTTTTCCTGAGCTTCTCTTCATGACTTGCGATGGCTACCTCTCACTGTGTCCAGTGTGGTCTTTTCTCTGTGTGTGCATCCTTGGACACTATCCCCTTGTGTCCACATTTTCTTTCCTGATTAGGACATCCCTGACATTAGATTAGAGCCATCCTGTGCTCCCCATTTTTACTTAATCACTGTGTTAGTTGACTAATAGAAAAGTGTTTCTTCTCACTGTGACTGAATGCTGGTAGAGAAGCAGCTTAAGGGAGAAAAGAGTTGATTTGGCTCACAGTGTGAGGAGATGTAGTCTGACAGAGTGGAAAAGAGATGGTAGCAGGCTACTCTGTGGTAGTGGGCAGCTCCACCAGTTGGTTTTCTTGTGAGGGAAATTTCATGTTCAAACCATAACCGCCACCTCTTTAAATGTCCTGTCCCTTTAATATTCACATTCCAAGGCAGTGGTTCGACATATGAATTTTAGAGAATACACAACTCAGTTCATCACACTCTGTACTGTGGATCTTCAGATTCCATGTCCTTCTAACATGCCCAACACACTCACCCTTCCCCAAAACCGGTCCTTGCTGCTTGCAAGTTACAGTGGTAGAACAAGCAGATGAAACAAGCTTTATTTTGTCTTTTGTTGTCCTGTCTCTAAGCTGGGAGACCAGAGTGCTAAAATCCCCTTCAAGAGCTCATTCTCCATGAGCTAAAGGCCTCTGGTAGGTCCTGCCTTTCTAATATTCTACCACTACTTTCTCATACTACCCCACGGGGGCCAGGCCTTCAATACATGAACATTTGAGCTTCACATATCTCAATGACAACAGATAGTGACTTTAGCACAGTGGAGTGTCTGCCTGGGAGAAGGAAAGGAACCGGTGTCACGAGGCTACCAACTATGCCTATTGCTTAAATCTCCTTGTCCAGCCTCCCTAAAACTAGCTACCCAGCAATATTCCCTAGCTGGTTAAAAACTAACAACCAGCTAAAAATCCTGAAGACAAAAGCTAGTATCAAAGTGTGGTGCGCATTATTAACCCTGTTCAACAGAAAACAACAAAAATCTGTTTTATTCAACAAATTTTATTGAATAAAAAATTATTTTTCTTCTGAAGAAGTTGCAGTCTTTATATACAGTCATACTAAATGTGATTATTTTAACAGCCTCTTAATGTTTTAGAAGAAAACCATGGGAAATCAGAAGTAATAACATATGCAATATTTCATTATCATCCATCAAAACCTTTTCTAAACACTTTATATCTATTAACTAATTCATTATCTTTGTGTATGTGTATGCTCATGTGGGTGTGCATGTGTGGGGGGGAGTGTGCCTGTGTGTGAATATACTTGACACTTGTGTGTGCCTCGGTCACTGCACTTTATTTTTGGATACCGAGGTTCTCATGAACCTGGAGCTCCCTGTTAGCTAGACTGGCTAGGCAGTAGGCCACAGGGATTTTCTGTCTCTGTCTCCCCAGTACTTGAATTACAGGCACTCTGGTCCTGGCTTTTTATGTGGATACTGGGATTCAAACTCAGGTCCTCATGCTTGTGTGGCAAACGTTTTATCAACTGAGCCAACTGTCTCCAGCCCCAGTGAACTAATTTATTCTTTACAGCAGCATTATGAGGCAAGGACTGTTACTAGACCCCATTTTCCATGTGGAGAAACTGAAATCCAAGAAGGTTAAGAAATGTGTCCACAGTGATATTAGTAGTAAGTTAAAAATGACCAATGGTCCTAGTTTGCTTGGGACTGAAGGAGTTTTTAAGGAGTCTTTTTAAACTGGAAGAGCTGGTCGTGCTGAGCCAAGCAGAGCAGCATGTCAGGCCGACTCCCAGGTTCATGCTCTGAAGAGCTGTCTGTGAGGGAGAGTAGACCTCCTAAGCACCTCCACTTACCAGCTGTGACTTAGGCCAAGGAATCTGGGCTTTCTAAGCTTTAGCTTCATGCTCTCCAAAATGGAAACAGTAACAGAAATCTTCTCCTCGCAGCTTTGCTCTAACCAAAAAACAAAAAGAGTCTAGTATTGTTTAATATCACAAAACACAATCTACCCTTCACTGAGAATAAATGGTCATTTCCCAACATGATCCAGAGTGGTCTACAAAACAGTCTGTCATGATCAGTATGTGCTAATCAAGTGAGAAGAACTTTATTCACTGTGCTAATGAGTAGTTTTTATAATAAAAATCAACCTACAAGTAGGGTTTTCTGTGTGCTTCCTTGTTTTGTGTTTACCACTCTGGCTGCCAAGAAATGTACCCAGATATAATTCAATTGTTATGCAGAATTCAGCTTCTTGAATTTCAGTGTCTGAAATTCTATTCTTGATCTCTTGTTTTAATCTGTGTGCCCTGAGTCTATTTTTTTAATTATATCGTTATTATTGTAGAATGGGCACGATGTGAGGGGCAGGGCATCATGTAGGGGTCAGTGGGTAATCTTGTGAAATCAGTTCTCTCCTTCCACCCTTATATAGATTCCAGAGATCGAACTTGGGTTGCCAGGCTTGCCCAGCAAGTGTCTTTACCCCCTGAGCCATCTGGCTGCCCTCATCAAGTCTAATTTTTATTTATTTTATCTTATTCTTCTAAGTCACTTCAAATTCCTATGAAAAAATATAGTATCTAAATAAATTGTAATAAATTACCAAACTTCAAAGTGTAAAAATGAAGGTTTAATTTTTATCAAAGTAATGCTTAATGAGTTTCACTTGCACTTTGGATTTGCGAATACTCCATTTACAGGCCGCTGGTTGCCCCTAAACTGGTGCCTTCCTCCACTAAACCTTTGCATGCACTGTGCCATTTAACCTCGCAGGGCAAAGGCACTGGTCCTCATTTGTGTGTGGCCTCGCTTTTCACTTGTCTTGTGAGCTTCTGAAGATGGTAGACACTCTCTTACATGTCCACTGCAGTCCCTTCCATGCCTAAGGCTGGAGGGAAATCTGGGGTACGAATCTTGAGGCTGTATTCTTCCTTTGGAATGTGCGTGAACCATTGGTAGACTCCCAGCCGCCTCCCAGAAACTGTGCTGTCAAGCTTCTGACCACTCAGTCTCTCATACTGGGTGAGAATTTGCACGAACAGCCTTTCAACTACTACACGACAGCAGCAGCTCTGCAGAGTAAGTTCTTTGGATCTCAACTTAAAATTGATTCTCAGGCCAAAGAGATGGCTCAGTGGTTAAGCGCACTGGCTGCTCTTGCAGAGGACCTGGGTTTGATTCCCAGCACCCACATGGCGTCTAACAACTGTCCATAACTCTAGTTCCAGGGGATCCAACATCCTCTTCTCACCTCCAAGGGCATTGCATGACATGGGTGCACTTGCATACATGCGGGCATTACCCTCATACACATAAAATAAAAATAATAAATATTTTTTAAAAAATTGACTCTGTTGGGTCAGTTATAAAACATTGCAATGTCTCTGTCTCTCTCTGCCCTTTCTCTCCTGCTTTTTTTCCTCAGACAGTTCTCGTCCACACCCAGGAGACAACACGTCTTAGATATTTCACCGAATTGCTGCTTGAGAAAGGCAAGCCGCTCATGCTGGTGGGAAATGCAGGTGTGGGGAAAACAGTCTTTCTGAGTGATATGCTGACGAGTCTCTCAGAGGACTACATAGTGTCACGTGTGCCTTTCAACTACTACACGACAGCAGCAGCCCTGCAGAGTAAGTGCCTCTCCCTGTCATACTAGAAAGGACACTTCACTAAGGTCTAGACGCCTTGCTTAGGCCTCTAATGAATTTTTGCTCATCATCATACTGGGTAAACAGACTTTAGCTATTGTTATGAGTTTGATTTGTGTTTTGTTTTGAGACAAAGTCTTATATTGTAGCCCAGGCATTCCTGGCTCTCATGATCCTCCTGCCTCAGCCTCCTGAGTGCTGGAATGATAGGTAGGTGCTATCACACCTGGCTAAGTTTGACCTTTTATTTCACTCAGGGCTTTATTTAGGTTATTACTTTGTAGTACAGTAAAAACTTATATTCCAGTAATACTTATGTCACCTTGAAGCCATTTAGTCACCTGTAATTAATTTCATGGAATGGAGTAACATAGGAGCATGCTTAGGATCCTCTGGTTACTTCTCCATGTAAGGGATTGTTTCTAGAGAAACTCAGTAGAGGTGTATCAATGACATGACTGACTTTGAATTGTTAATTAAATTCCTTTATGTTACATTTATTCAGTGAGGGTGGGGAGCATATGCCATGGTATGCATGTGGGAATCAGAGGACAACTTTTGGAAGTCAGTTCTCTCCTACCACATGGGACCTGGGCATTGAACTCAGTTTGTCAGACTTGGCAGCAAATGCCTTTACCTGGTGAGTCATCTCACTGCCCTTGTTAATTCAGTCTTAACAGAACTATAAGAATAATTTTGAGCTATTGAGTAAACTCTCAGACTGACCCTTCTGAGAGTTGGGGCTACATGAAGTGGAGGTGGGAGGTGTCAGGGAGACGGCATGAGGAGCTGAGGTTGGTACGCCTGTCACTCCCCAGCACAGGGAAGGAAGGGCAGCAAATACCATGGTGTCAGCTGGTGATTGAAACAGTTGGGTTGCACTGAGTGTTGGGTCCCAGGATATGTATGTGTATGTGTGTGTTGTTGTCATGGCTGTATTGGTGTAGATTACTAACAAACTTTCTAACTGAAATCAATGCAGCCAACAATGGAAGTTCTGCAAAATTTCTTTAATTGGTTTGTCTTGTTTTAGTGAATGGAATAGTTAGAAAGCCAATTCCATATTATTTCTTTAGCAAATAGATATGATTTATCTACTTGTTTCCAGGCATAGGAATGGCTTTATTCATAAGCATGAAGGAGAATTCCTTGGGACTTATAGATGGAAGATTAGTTGATTATTTATCAGCTCAACAAATTGTGTGCTATACCTCTAATTCCCGAGAGAGAGAGAGAGAGAGAGAGAGAGAGAGATATGAATAAGATTGAGAAGTAACATCAAAATTGGGACTTGGATAGAGCTATAGTTGTCAGTGCTCTTTTAAAGAGAGATTTCAAACATGAGAGGAGGTGATGCTCAGGCAAAGAGGAGACTTAGGAAAGAAGGATCAGCTTAAGGAAGAACACTGCAGGGCACATCCAGTGAACTGAGTCTGAGAGATGACTGAACCTTGGTGATTAGGGAGAAGAGGGAAAAGGCTGGAGTCAGACCCCAGCACGAGGAGAAGGACAGCAAGAACGCAGACAGGGTGATCCGCTGTCCAGTGGTGTTCTGGAGCATGGGACTTTAGTGTTTGGCAGGGACAATTCTGGGTAACCTGGGCTGACTCACCATAATTGTAGAGAATGAGCTGTAAGCCAAGGAGACTGTATTTCACATGGTAGGTAGAGATGAGCTATTGCGAGGGAACAAGGAACTGTCCAGATGCCAGCTGTCTTGGGAAGAGGAATCTGAGGTCAGGAAGACCAGATCCACTGAGTAGAATACCAGCTAATATAATGTGGCCCTAGGCCAGAGTTGTAGAAAGGAAAGTGACAAGTTAGGAATATAAGGAAGTGGCATGAGGTTTGAGTAACATGACTATTTATAGACTGTGGTTGGGCATACATGGGAAGGATAGAGTTCCTATGAGGCTTTCCTAACTGACCTGAAGAGTTTTAGCCTCAAATGCAAGAACACAAAAGAAAGGAAAGAGGTGAACTGCCAGTATGTAAGAGATGGTGGTGAAATGTGTTTAGCAAAAGGCAGATTCAAACATCCAAGTGGCAACCTAGCTGATATCCAGCCAGCATCTGGAAATGTGGGTCTGTTGCTTGGAAAACACATTTATTTATTATGTACATCTTTTTTCATTTGTTTATTCCTTCATTCATTTAGCAAATTATTTATCATGGTTATCATAAAGGATATAGCAATATACTATATATTGCTGTATCCTTTATGATATAAATATATATATCATAAAGGTGAGAGAGAGAGATTGAGAGAGAGATTGAGAGAGAGAGAGAGAGAGAGAGTCTTCTCTGGTCCCAAGATATTTATAGTTTCAAGAGTCAATATTCAATTAGATACTGTGTCTGAGAAATAGGATACTCAGGATCCTCCCTACCCATGACTCTGAGTCATCAGTAGCATACAGTCATGTAGGAATAGGGAAAGTACCACTTTTTAGGTGTGCAGTGTCTGCATAGACTGACCTCTTATACCCCAGTTACCCAAGAAGAGAGGTATGGGGGCCATTTTAGGGGATATGAGAGCTGTTCCTAGACTCTCTTACAGAGAAGATGGAGAAGGACTGAGAGATCAGACTGTAGCAGGACCGGCAGTGAGCCATAAGCTAAAGTGGGTGCCAGAGAAGAAAGCACACACATCAGCAATGAGGTTGTCTCTGATGTGAGGAACAGTGTGGTGCCACATGCCTTCATTGAGGTTTCCAGAAAAGGAGGGTTGGAGTTACTGCTGGTAACAGAATCAGCAGGAACATGGTGTGGGAAATGATAGCCAGAGATCCATCTCTGGTAATAAACTTGAAACCATAACATAAACAAATCAACACAAGAGAGGAAGAATGTGGGAAAAAATAAGTAAAGGCAGAAATGTTACATTTGCCAGTCATTGGCGGACAAAATTATATATTTATTTCAGGAATTCTTGAAAAGCCTTTAGAGAAAAAAGCTGGTCGTAGCTATGGCCCAAAAGGAAAGAAAAAATTGGTTTATTTCATTGATGATATGAACATGCCTGCAGTGGACGCCTATGGCACTGTTCAGCCTCATGCTCTGCTGCGACAGCACATGGACTATGGGCACTGGTAAGCAGGTCCCTGTGTTTTCTTGTCCACCGAAACTTGATGATTGCAGTGGATGAATATTTGAAGCTATAGTTACCCCCAATTTCTTAATCTTCTGGGAGCATTTTTTCCTATAATGCTCTGAGTTCAGTTTGAATCCTTGTGTGTCTGTGTGTGTGTGTGTGTGTGAGGGGAGAGCACAGGGAACATGTTTGCATGAATGTATGTGCATGTGTATGTGGAGGCCAGAGGGCTACACCAGACTCCAGGCCAGATCACTATTCATCTTAGTTTTTGAGACAGAGTCTTTCACTGAACCTCGTGTTTCAGTGTTCCCCTGATTCAGTTAATCTGACTGGGCCTAGGGATCCTCTCCTGTCTCCACTTCCCTAGTGCCGGAAGTATTGCTGTGTGCCGCCACATCTGGCTTGAACGTGGATGCTGGGGATTTGAACTCAGGTCCTTGTATTGTGTGGCAAGCCTTTTACTGACTGAGGCATCTCCCAAACCCCTCTTTATACTCCTTTTTATCATATTAAATTGAACAATTTCCCTTTGTATCTTTGAAAGATTGGATTGAAAAGTAGCAGAGCAACATAACAACTACCCGGAAATCACATCTTCTCTAAGAATTAACTCACACTAAGCTACCAAAGGGAAGCATGACTTTACCTGCAGAATGCAAACATTTAATCATATCTAGGCCCTACAGTCTGCCATCCATGGTATCAAACATAGGGCAGAGAGCATCCCACCCAGCAAGCCTCGCTTATGGCTACAACATAGTTTCCACCCATATTAAGAGTTGTGAAAATCAATAAGCAGTAATAGTTTATATTGATTCAACTTCAGATCTTGATTTCGGCCTCCAACAAATTCTGTCACCTTCAGTTTTCTGGCCTACAGTTTTGATGTCCCCCAGATAAGGCTAAGAAGGTCAAGCTGGCAGAGCAATTGTGAAGATAAGGTGACAGTTTGTGATGAAATCCTTCATGAACCAGCAGATTTTGTTGTTTTGTCATCTCATTTTTGGATTTGAGGTTCTGTTTTCTATCTCTCAGGTATGATAGACAGAAGGCCATGCTTAAAGAAATCCACAGCTGCCAGTACGTGGCCTGCATGAATCCCATGGTGGGCAGTTTCACGGTCAACCCGAGGCTGCAGGTGGGTGTCAGAACCACAGTCTCCCAGTACCCCTTGCTGTCATATTCAAAGCTGTAGACCTTGCTGGGAAGGCTGAGGCCACATAATGAACTCCAAGCTAGGCTGGGTTTCTTGGTGCTCACAAAGATTGTCACTGGACAGTTAATCATGTATGTTTTTTCCATTTAATTGGGCATTTTAGAGAAGTTTTAGGTTTATACTAAAATGACCTGAAAATGGTGTTTCCATTTAGTTTCCATCCTCATTCCCCCTGGATTCATTTCACCTCTTATTAACTAACCACTTACATTAGCTACAATTGATGAGGCAGTATCTACACATTATTATCGACTAAAGTTCAGTGTTTCCACTGGGCTTCCTTCTTTGTGTTCTGTGGAGTTAACAGGTATAGTGACAGGTGCCCACTGTTAAAATAACACATAGAATGCTTTTCCTCTGAAAACCCTTCTGTTCTTCCTGTGCATTTTTTCTCTTGCGTCTGCATCCCTGGCAGTCACTAATCCTTTGAAAAAATTTTTTTTCTTTTTTGTTATCATGGTAACATACATGTTACGCAAAAGTTTATCACTCTCTGCTCATTTACCACCTCTGGCTCTTACAGTATTTCTGATCCCTCTTCCATAATGACCCCTGAGCCTTGGGAGAAGAGGGTGTGATAAAAATGTGCCATTTAGGGCTGAGTTCTCTACAGTCTCTTATTCTCTGCATGTTGACCAGTTGTGGATCTCTGTGTTAACGGACATCTGCTGCAAGAAGAAACTTCTCTAGTGAGAGCTGAGAGATGCATAAATCTATGGATATAACAAGTTACTAAGAGTCAGTTTAATACTGACTTAATATGTTTGTTTAGCAGGATAATCATAGCAGATTCTTCCCTGCAGTTTGTGACCTGTCTAATCACAGGCTCTTGGCCCTGATAACAGTGCCAGATATGGGCTGCGTCTTGTGAAACTGAGCTTAAATTCAAACAGAAAGTAGTTGGTTGCATCCATAGCATTCGTGCCACTATTACACCAGTGGGCATGCCTTACCAAGACAGTTCTTATTGTTACACGATTCACAGCTGAGTAACTTGATGATAATTTTACTCTCCTGGAAGCATACATAGCACCTTCCAGCACTATGAAACTTAGCCAGGAGAGGTGAAGCTTCAAGGACAGTACTAACTTGATTTCTCTTTTTTCTATTACTCACATATGTAGTGTCTTCAGCAATAGTGTTTTACCATCAAGTTTTGGAGGGCAACCAAGACAATAGCCAGTACTGTCCCCAGTCCTAGCTGAGGAACTATTGGCAATTAATAGCTATTGGGAGAAAGAGAGTCAGTTTTCTTTAAGAGATTGATGCCGGGTAGGTTGACAGACTTCAGAGGATGGACCAACACCTAAGAGCATTTGAGAAACACAAATTAGACCCTATAGGCAAAAAATAACATGGGACATGAAGTGAGGATGGGGATAGGGAGTTGGGGTTGATATAAGAGGAGATGGGAAGGCGTCTGAATATGATCAGAGTATATTGTATGAAATTCTCAGAGAATCAATAAAAATATTACTTAAAAATTATCATCTCAGCCAGGCGTGGTGGTGCACACCTTTAATCCCAGCACTCAAGAGGCAGAGACAGGCGGATCTCTATGAGTTTAAGGCCAGCCTGGTCTATATAGAGTTCCAGGACAGCTGGGGCTACAGGGAGACCCTGTCTCAAAAGGACCAAAAAAACAAAAATTATCATCTCAACCATTTTAAGTAGACAGTTCTGTGTATTAAATGCTTTCATATGCTGTTGCCCCACATCACCTTCATCCATCTCTATAAAACTCTTTAAGCACTGATCCCTCCTTCTTCTCTCCACTGGCCCCTGACAGTCACCATCCTACTTCCTGTCTCTGTGATTCTGACTGTCCCAAGTTCCTTACATTAGTGGAGCCATACAGTGTCTCAACTGGCTTATTTCACTTGGCATGGTGTTAAAGATCACACACGCAGCTCATTGAAAAATTGCTTTTAAAGTCTGAATGAAGCTCCATTTTTTTGTCCTATGCTTCATTTTGCTTGCCCATGCATCCATTGGTGGACACTGGATCATGTCCACATTTTAGGTAGTGTGAATATAGCCACTCTGAACATAGGAATACAAATATCTCTTCAGGATCCTGCTTTCAGTTCTTTTGACTGTTATTCAGAACTGGAATTACAGGATCCAAGAGTAACTCAGTTTAAAATTTTTGAAGAATTGTCACTTTATTTTTCACAGTGACTACGTCAACTTTCCTTCTGACCAACAGTGCACAAGGATTCCAATTATCCACATTTTTGTCAACACTTAAGATTCTCTCTCTGCTTTGGTTCTTTGTGTTTTCTCATAGCAGTCATGCTAATAGGATTGAAACATTATTTCATTATAGTTCTGATTTGTACTTCTCCAATGATTAGTGGTGATCAACATCTTTTCATGTCCTTCTTGTCCATTTGCACATCTTCAGGGAAATGTTAGAATCTTTTCAGTCATTTTAGATCAAGCTTTTGTAGCTGTTAAGTCTTTGGCATTTTCTGCATATTCTGGACATTGAGTTCTTAAGCACTGCTCACTTTGTTGCCTCATAATTTCTCTTTTTCCGGAATGTCATATAGTTAGATTCATCTAGTATGTAACTTTTCAGTTCATCTTCCACTTAGCTTAGCCCTTTGAACATATGATTCCCTCATCTCTTTTCATGGCTTGGTAGATCATTGATGAACAAAGTCAATTCATTCACCTGTTGAAGGACAACTTGGTTGCTTTACTCTCAGATTTTGGCGATTAAGCAGAAAGCTACTGCAAACACATATGCATTGTTTCAAGTGTGCGCATAAACTGTTTCATGGTGAAACCTGCCACCACTAACATCCACACAACACAGAGATTTCCTTCTTACTTAACTTAGCTGGTGGGATCTAGGTGACCCTGCTGGTCTTTGCCAGGCTCATTTGTAAATGCCTGGGTGTTGACTGTCAGCTAATTTAGTGAGGCATTGGCTAGAGTGATTGTGACAATATGCCTCTGTTTTTTTCTATCTTTCATCATTTAACTTAGAGAGTTTATGCAAAGTCAAAGGCTAAAAACAACAAAAGTCAACATCAGGCCTTTGACAGTGATTGGCATACTATCACATCCACCTCACTCTGTGGGTGAGAACAGGTCACCTGGCCAAGCCAAGGGTCAGGGTGAAAGGCAGTAAAAAGTTACGTAGCAGTGGTCCTGGATAAGGGAAAGAGTAAAAGCAAGTGTTTTGTTAATTTTTCTGTCTGAATTTTCTGGTATAATTATCTCTATTTTGTTTTAATTGTTTTTCAGAGGCATTTCACAGTGTTTGCCTTCAATTTTCCATCTTCGGATGCACTGACCACCATCTATGGCCAGATCTTCAGCTTCCATCTCCAGCAGCAAACATTCAGCCCATCAGTTCTCAGGGCTGGCCCCTCTTTGACCCAGGCAACAATAGCATTCCATCAGATGATGGTGCAGTACTTCTTACCCACTGCTGTCAAATTCCACTACATTTTTAATCTGAGAGATCTATCAAATGTCTTCCAGGTACCTCAACTGGCATGCTAGCTTCTTGAGTATAGAAATAACTATAGTTACATTAATGACACTCCTTCAGTTTTAAACTATGTTCTGTGACTTTACCTTTTACTCATAAGCCTCTGGAAGTCAACATGGTAAGTTTGCTGTTCCCTTCTCATCAGTGAGACTGTGGTTCCCTTCCAGCTGTATACTGTCTGTGCTGTACGGTAGAGCACCTGAGACTTGGTAACTTATAAGTAATGAGAATTTATTTCTCACAGTTTAGAGGGCTGAGAAGCCTACAGTCAAGGTACGAGCAGGTTCAGCGTCTGTTGAGGCCTGGTCTGTCTTTCCAGGTGACACCTTGAACATATGTCCACAGCAGAAGGGATGAAAGGGTAAAGGGGGTGAGCATCTAGCACCACTTCTATGAGGTCACGCCTCCTTCATGTCTTAAATACTGGCCAAAAGTCCTACCTTTTGATGTTGTCACATTGGTAATTAAGGTTTTTGTTTTAACATTTATTTATTGTGGAGGGGAGGAATGCATGCTATGGGCCTGCTTGTGAAGGTCAGAGAACAGTTTATGGAGTCCATTCTCTCTTTCCACCTTTACATGGATTCTGGGAATTGAATGAACTCAAAGCACCAGGCTTACCCACCAAACTTTCTCACTGGCCCCACAATTAAGTTTCAATGCATGAATTTATGTAGACAGAGACTATGATAGTGATTTAGCAGTAGCAGTAAAAATAGAAATTTGATCTCTGTGGATTAAAGTCTTACTCCTTTAAGTACCAAATAAGAGTCCTTTTTTCTTCTTTTTTTTTTTTTTTGTAAAACATCAATGAGTCATTTAAAATGCATTTGATAGGGGAAAGTATAATTTTTTAAATTATTAGATTGTTTTAGTTTAGTATTTAAATTACATTCTTACATAGTGTGTTAGAGACACTGAAACCAAGGTCTCATTATCCCTTTCAAGGGCATGTCCCCAATGACTTAAAGATTTCCCAGTAGACCCCACTTCTTTTTTTTTTAATTATTTATTTAATAACCACATATTTAGAAGAAGAAGCATTTCATTACAACAGCATTGACATATTCAATAACAATTTCCTTAGCTAAGATGCATCTCTTTCAAAATTGGCTGTAAATTTTTAGTTTTACCGTTGAATTATTATAGTTATACAATATTGTACTCAGTATACACCCTATAAGACATAAAATTAAATGAGGTTTTAACCTTTAAAAAAGATCTCCATTTCATTATTAAAATACACAGCTTCATTCAGAAAAATTCATTTTTAATGCAATTGCCACTAAGATGTTTGCACATGCGTTTCTAATCTCTATATATCTGATAATAATCAGATATATAGAGGTAGTATATAGACTAGTCCCAGTCTTTGACTCTCCTTACAAAGTCACTAATGTCTCCACTCTCATGGCGTCATATAATCATAGTCAGCTCTCAAAGGCCCACCTTCGAATATTATTAACATACAAATTTGGGCATTAAATTTTCAACACAAGATTTTGGGGGAAACACATTGAAACCAGGAACATGACAAGAAGGAAGCAAACCCGCTGATACAGATTTCTAGTGCCAGGCCTGCCTTTCTCAACATTTTTACTCCTTTCAGGGTCATTGGTCGCAGGAGGTAGAGTTATGAATGGCAGGAAGCTGGGGTGTGTAGGGGCTGGGCTGCCCTTAGGGGAAGCTCTTTAATGTCCTGCAGTTGAAGGTAGTTGTTAGCTATACAATCAAACAAGTCAGATAAATATTTAAATATTTAGTTCTAACATCAGACCTGGAAACACACAGCCATTTGCCAAGCTTTTGATGCAGGGCCAACCTTTTTCTTTGCCTTTGGGTCTGGTGGCCAGGTTTTGTGGTATCGCTCCTATCTCTAGTTTGCTTCCATAAAGTGAAGTGATTCTTCAGAAAAACTCATGAAGTTTCTGAGTCTAGAACCTTCTATGATTTGTTTTTATAATCTGCCCCTACTCTTTTCTAGATATCACCTCTGTACCTTGCTTGAAAGCACTTTTGTGGTGAATGTAGGGACTGGCCTTTGTTATTTTTCCCGAGTTTTCATAAGAACAGCAGCACTTTCACAGTGATTTTTGTCTGGTTGGTTAGTTGGGGTGTGCTTTTGTGTGTGAATGTGTGTGTTTTCAGTGCTGGGGATCTAACCCATAGTAGATAAACACTCTACCACTGAGCTAAGTTCTTAGCTCTTATTTTTTGCAATCAGTTGTTAATATTCCTTTAAATAAGATTGGGTAGATCCCACTTCTTAAAGTCTCCACCAGCTCATCATAGCCCCACACTGATACCAACCTTCCTGGGGATGGAGGCTTGAGGTCCAAATGGTGTAGCACCTGGTAAAAGGATTTAAGGTCTGAGTTTATAAAGGAAATACTAAAAAGGGAATTGAAGGTCTGGAATTCCTACAATGGACACAGTGTGGTCTGCTATGTGTATAGATCCCACTTCTTAAAGTCTCCACCAGCTCATCATAGCCCCACACTGATACCAACCTTCCTGGGGATGGAGGCTTGAGGTCCAAATGGTGTAGCACCTGGTAAAAGGATTTAAGGTCTGAGTTTATAAAGGAAATACTAAAAAGGGAATTGAAGGTCTGGAATTCCTACAATGGACACAGTGTGGTCTGCTATGTGTAGTAAAATATTTTGAGAGTTATTTGAGCTTAAAGTTCCTTTGTGCAGGAGACAAATGTGAAGACTTCACAGGACTTTAGAATCACTCCATAGCTGCCTCCAAACCCTGTCAGTGTTAGGCAACAGCTTGTTAATGGCACAGGCCATTTCTTTTCTGTATTTCTAGCACCTGCCAGAGTAACTTTGCTTAATAAAGTCTTATTAAAAAGCATGAGTCTTCATCTTAGCAGAAAAGGTGAAATGAGGTATGATCCTGCCTGTTCACCCTTCAGGTCCAGGCTGCCAGCTGCCATCTTGAAGTTAATCCTCCACAGGTCTGTATGCGTTCTGTGTGCAGAGCAAGCTGGCTGGCCATGAAGCTGGGGCCACCTGAGCCGCTGATACTTAAGGGCAGTGTTGGTGAACTCAGGAGGCAGACTGATTGGTGCTAGTCCCCTGTCTAACCTCTGAGTTTGAATCTGGGCAATTTACATTTGAAAAGGTTAGACTGCTGGTATCAAGGATTAAAAGCAAGAAAATCCTATATCCTGTTACTTTCATACTGTTTGTACTTTTACTTTGTAAAATCCATTGGAGACTTAAGAGATACATATGCATAGGTATGTGTTGCTAAAATTACTTTTGTGGGGGAGGTGTAAACAAGGTTCACCTCCCTTGGTCCCAGACCAAGGTATACTTCCACCAAAGTCTACTCTGGGAAACCAGTGAGTTTATTGGACTTACAGAACAATGGGTGAGGGTTACTTACAGAAGAGCAGGTGCTCCACCTCTAAGGCCATACCAGAGTCTTCACCCAAGTTTGAATGATGACTTCCACTTCCCATAGCCACATAGAGAACCCCTGTCACTTAGTCTTACCCAACTTATATATTCTAGCCCTTCCTCCAGGCCATGTGCAGTTAGGGCTGAATTGCCCACCACAGATTGGGAGGTGTGGACAGATGCTCAGCTGAGGGTCCCATGATCCTCCCTGCCCCTCCTCCTGTGATGTGACTCCAACAAATCAACAAGCCCAGCTGTGATGATCTTGAGCCTGTCAGGAAGATGGCCTGTCTGACTGACTCCAAGAACAGCCCTGTACAACAATGTGTCAATTAGTTCTTGCCGACTTCCTGAAATACAGTTCTAGTTGCATTCCTTAATATGAGTGTGATGATACTAAATGTATTTAAGGCTGCTTATCAGTAGTGAAACAACTTATATCTGCACGTGTGCACACCCTCACTCCTATTTGCTTCTTTTAAATCACTAAATTCAGCATATGGCTAAATAAATATTAAGAATGGTTATTTGAAATGACATCATCTTCTGAATTCAAGGTGTGTTTCCTGTTCTTGTCCTGTAGGGGATTTTGTTTGCTTCTCCAGAGTGTTTACAATGCCCTGATGATTTAATGCGCCTGTGGCTTCATGAATTGTCCCGTGTTTATGGAGACAAACTGATAGACACAAATGACTGTGACTTATTTCAGAAAAAAATGCTGGAAACTGCTCATAAATACTTTGAAGTAAGTGAATGAACATCAGAGGTCACTGCTCGCCCTGGCACAGCTGGTGAGGGGAAAGGGTTGGAGAGAAAATGGGCAATTGCAGAGGAGCTTACTTTCCTTTTTCTACACTAGCTGGGGTTCATGGTGAACTGGGTCTGGATTTGGGGACATTGTCCCACCTACGCATGCATAGACCTGAGGCTTGTTTCTTGAAAGGTGACTCTGGGTGGCTGACACACCACGGTTTGTTCTTCCTTGTCTTGCAGGGTGCAGACAGTAGTGTGCTGCTTCGGCAGCCCCTCGTTTATTGCCATTTTAGCAGTGGCAGTGAAGACCCATGTTACATGCCAATAAAGGACTGGGAAGGGCTGAAGACACTTCTTAAAGAAACGTTAGATAACTACAATGAGCTAAATGCTGCTATGCACCTGGTGTTGTTTGAAGATGCCGTGCAACATGTGTGAGTTGACTGGCCATGGTGGTTTATCCTGAAAGCAAAAATGGCTATCAGTTCACAACTGTTCTTCAACAGCGTAAACAAGGACTCTACCGGTTCTTGTATGTTGTTTGTCATACAACACTAAAATACATGTCACTGTTAATTATGTCACCATCTTAACATCCTTCATATAGGTTGTGTTGAGTTCCCACTGCATGGCCAATTCCTTTAGTGTCTTTCAGCAATTAGGAAGAAAAGGTGGGCATATTTTCTTGGAAGAAAATTAAAGGAAGATACCTGCCCTGGGGTAAAGCCTGACCATCAAGGCTCTCACTTATTTCTTAGCCTGGACATCTCATATGGTACCTGGGTATCTATGGCAGGGGGTGACATTTAAGCTAAGATCTAAATAATAAGCAGGTATTATAGAAAGATTTGGGAGAAGAATATTGCAGACAGAGGCAGATGTGGCTCTGAACCACGAGCATTCAAACAAACAGTAAAAGATCAAGGTGACCATAGCATAAAGGCAAAACAGGGCAAGTAGTGTACGAAGTTGCTGGAGTGGCAGGAACAGGCCTTCTGTACACAGAACATTTCCTTATAACAAAGATCAGGATTCCTGGTGACAAGCTGTTGGATGGGTTTGAGCACAGAGATGGAAATCTGATAGTCTCAGTAGCTTCCATTGCTGATGGTAGAAACACCATTGCATCTTTACAGTCCACATAACATTCCTTGTCCTGCAACCCTCATTCTAATGGGCCTTTTCTTAAGGAGCAGTGGACAAGAGTTAAAAAGGAAAGAAATATATGATTAAAAACAAGAAGGATGGATTTGTGAAAGAAGGGCATCAAAATGGGAGGTAATTATGGGAAATTGAATTTTTTAAAAGTTATTGTAAAATGCTTAGTTAGCTTCAGGACTAAAAGAAAATATTGTCCTCCCCATAATACTTGCTGCAAGCATGTCAGGTATCCATAGTTTGAGCCCTTTGCAACTTTCCCTTGATTACAGGAACCAGAGTAGTTTAAGTGGGAACCAGTAGATTATTGGCCCCACTGTTCTCAGTGGGGTTTTGATATGCTGACGGCATGTGGAGCTCGGGTGTTCCCTCCAACACTGAGGAAGAGATTTCCCCTTGTAATATTCAGAATTCTCAACGGCCTAAAATAAAGTATTTCTTTGAATAGGGGTTATAAGCTTGAAGTTGATTGACTCAGCATTAGGGATGATTTAGGAGTGTGTCTGTGAGTATCATAGGAAGGAGTATTGCATTTATTGTATCTTGTAAGATAAAGACCTCGAAGCAGGCCTTCACATGAAACCAAAGCCTGGCTTTGGACTTGGGGGTGCACTCATGTTATAGCTTCCCCAAGGTTGTTCTGTCATATGGTGATGCAAAGTAGAATTGAATGAGATCACTGAACTTGAAAAAAGAACCTGTCTTTTCCGTTATTGGAGAATTGAGGTAAATGTTCACATGTTAGTCCTAGTATACCTGACTCCAGCTTCAGTTTCTCTAAAAGAACTACTTAAAGAGCTATATGGATCATTCAGAGTCTGAAGTTTAAGTTCATTTCAGAAAAGACCTAAAGCAAGCAATAGCATTCAGTTTTTGCACTTGGATATCTACACACTTATATTTTGTTTGCCGTTTTTCTTCTATAACATATGTATGTTCTATTTCTTTACCTGAACCCATATTATGCTAATGTTAAAGCCAACTTCCTTTCAACTGAAGAGAATAGCTGTGGTATCAATAGCATAAACATTCAGAGTCTCTTGAATATTATAGAATAAGAAGTTAGCTGGCCTTGTCAGAAACTTAACTTTCTGATACTGGGTGGTAATACTGTGACCTCTGCATGGGGCAGACTTTAATGTAAAAGAAATAAGAATCATATTAAGAAGCAAGTGTTTAATCTTCATGAGGAACTCACATAGAGATGTCTGTTGGTCTACACTGATCCATTCTTTCCAAAATAGTTTTACAGCAAAGATTTCAAGCACAAGGCTATCCTACTTGATGTCTTTGTACTTGGGATCTGACATGGAATTTGGATTTTCTTGTTAACCAAAAAAATCTGAAGGTTAGTTACAAGGCCTTGTATATATTTTTGAGTGGTAAGTAATAACAGCAAGATTCCAAAATGTGACTAGCTTGAGAAAGCTTGTTAGGCAAACATTTCAAGGACAAGAAAGTAGGCAGTGTTGGAAACATGAACATGAACCAAAATATTCCAGTGAAAATGGCAATTTATCTCTACATGCGTATCTAAAATATAAAGCAAATGCAGCCCAGGGCATTTTCTCCACTCTTTGTTTCTCTAGGTGTCGAATCAGTCGCATTCTTCGGACCCCTCAGGGCCACGCCCTCTTGATTGGAGTTGGGGGCAGTGGCAAGCAGAGTCTGTCTCGGCTGGCAGCCTTCATCTGCAGCCTGGAAGTCTTTCAGATCACTCTGACTGAAGGCTACGGAGCTCAGGAACTTCGGGTGAGGAACACAGCCAGGCAGAGCTGTGTTTTGTTATCCATAGAAGATTGGGGCCAGGATCCCAAAGAAATTCAAGTCTGTGAATGCTTACATCCCTTATATAATCAAATATGATCTTGTGTGCCTTAACGTGTCTCTAGGTTGCTTAGAATACCTAACTCAATGTAAATGTTATGCCAGTAGCTGTTATACTATAGTGCTTAGGGAATGATGACAAGAAAAGGATGTATATGTTAAATACCCACACAGTCTGGGTGGGGGGTTGGTTGACTGTGCTTCGTTTGGATCCTTTTGTCTGACTAACAGCGTAAGCTTATAGTGAACCCATGTCAACCCTGAGGTTTGACCAGGGCCTCCCCACCATAGGGAAAGAGAAATTCTCCAGGAGGTTATCTTTGGAGATTTGTCTTCATGGTCAAATCAGTCATAACAATATGTTTTTATAATTTTTATAAGTTCAATAACATCTGAGAAAATATTTTCTTAAGCACATAGATATGTTTTTATTTCTGCACTCAATGAATCTGACATTCAACACTATTTGTGCCCCCATGTGATAGAGGGCAAAAAAAAGATACTTCCTTTATAATGGCAAATAGATTTCTTCCAATTCAGATAAAACTGTGAGAAAAAAAAAAAATCGAGAGTAGCATGTTCAGAAACCTGTCCTGTGTCTTTAAATTTTTGTTTTTCAATCATAATAGTGCTTAAAAAATAATTCCTAGAGTTTGTGGCAAGCGCTATTTTAAACTTGTACTTAAAAAAATGCTTTTAATATTGCCAAACAAATAAATAAGCAAAAGCTACTTTCATTGAAAGAGCAAGTAGAGGCCTTCCTTCCACCATGCTGTTTGACCGAGGCATCACTGAGTTCACGTCCACTCTGTTAGAAGGGGGCTGTGGCTCATCAGCAGCCTGTTTTCTTCCTTACATTCCCTTAAGTCACATGAAGCTCACCAATAGATGCCAGAATTGGAGGTGACGTCATGCTGCAATCCCCTGTGACAGGTCACGGAGGGGAGAGGCACAGAGGACTGCCTTACTATCGAGGCACTCCGTTCTTCCCAGCACTTAAGCCACACACTTCCAACATTGCATCAGCATTTTATCAAAACATGAGTGATGGCCTCCTTTCCTTACAGGTAGATCTGGCCAATTTGTATGTCAGAACTGGAGCCAAGAACATGCCCACCGTGTTCCTGCTGACAGATGCCCATGTTCTAGATGAGAGCTTCCTCATGCTGATTAATGACCTGCTGGCATCAGGTGATTAAGCAGGCACATTTCTTGAAAGATCTTCCCCAATGACAAATTATCTGTAGTTTCAATGAACTTTAAAGAGAGATAATTTGTCTTCGAGATGTTTGCTGGGCAATCTTTGGGGAGAAAGCTATAAACCTAACTAATTTGAGGTATATTGCTTTCTTAGTCAGCTTATGGATGAGAACTGCCTCCAAGAGGCCTGAAGTGACATAAATGTTATTCTTCCTGTGCCAATCTAGAGGGGGTGCAGGTCTGGAGGAGGTGAGGTCTAATGGCGTATGGCTCTAGTGGGGTGTGGTCTAGGGGTACATAGGTCTAGTGGGGTGGTCTAGAGCATGTGTAATCTAGTAGGGTGTGGGTCTAGTGGGTAAGGGGTCCTTGCTTGCTCTCAGTGTTCTATATCTTAGTGCAAAAGGCAGTGGATGATGCATTTCTGATTTCAAACTCATCTCTTAGGCTGAACTTTGTCTTGTAAAGCATTTCAAGCATTAGAAAATCCATTTTAAGTGTAAATTACAATGATCTTTTGTAATTCTTCCCATTCTTTGGGGGTAGGAGACATCCCAGATCTGTTCAGTGATGAAGATATGGACAAGATAGTTTCTGGGATTCGTAATGAAGTTCGTGGTCTTGGCATGGTGGATTCCAGAGAAAATTGTTGGACATTCTTTTTGGCCAGAGTCCGACTACAGCTCAAAGTAAGAAATGCTTGCTTGGCCTGCATATTGGCCACTATGGGGGTAGAATGTGGATCTCTGCCAGGGTCCTTAATACAGGTTTGAATTTCAGTGACCCCTTTTGAAGTGACAGGTGGATTTTCCCAGGCTGTGTCTACAACGTGTGTCCCTGAGGCCAGCTGTAGGGTTGGGTTCCTGGGTAACCCTTGGCTGAGCAGTGCATACAGTGTATTATTGAACCACATGTGTCTCTGTCCTAAAGGAGCTGACTCCGTTGTACTGTAGGGAACATCACCAAGTACTGTCCTCAGGACAATTATAAATGACACTGTGGGACTGAAGATGAGGGCAGCCCCTTTCCTAACAGGAATAAGTCATCTAGGAGACACAGTGTGTCATGTGCCTGGCATAGATCAGAATTCAAGGCAGGGACTATGTTTATATAAGGTAGACTATGAAGAACATGTTTAGAGAAACCCGAGGTAGCTCTAAAGAACCCAAATGTAGAGCTCTTGTGGGGAGAACATGATTAATAAATCAGGAAAAATACATTGGTGTGAAGTAAATCACTTAGTGAACAATGAAGGGAATCTTGAAGTTAGAAAATGACTAGTGTGTTGATCCTTCATGGAATGGGATTTAAGGGTACTGCTCAAATATTCTAAGCTTCAAGCCTCTCTACTTAAGCTACTCTTTGCTTTAGGCCCTCACAGAGACTTATAACCAAACAGCAGTATCAATAAAGGTTAAGTATTACAAGAGAACAAAACCTCTAAACTTATGGGAAGCCAAAACTTCATAATACTGTTGTGGAGATTTCGGGCTTCCTAGCCTAGAAAAGGTTAGTAACATTAAAAAAAAAAAAAAAAAGAAAAGAAAAAAAGTAACAGTCTCTTTGCTCTTTCTTCTAGTATTGCTACACCTGTCAACCCAGTGAAGATACTAGGGTACAGAGTATTTAAGGAAAGGAATGAGCTGATGTTACCCAGAAATGTGCCTTAGCAAAGGTTTAGATAGAAGAGTAAGTTTCTTTAGTACCTTATGATTTAAAATTTCGTATTAATCTTACTGAATAATTCTGGGCTGGGGTTGGAAAATCAGAATTCAAGTTTCAATTGCCTGAAGAGTTTTCTCCATAACAAAGGTGTGACTCAGAAGACAGAGACTAGGGGTATAGGTAAGAGGTAGAATGCTTGTCTAGTATGTGTTGAGGCCCTGATCACAAGGCTAACAAAAGAGGGTGGGCGGAGAGGGCAATAGTTTCAAAGCATGTGTGCAAATTCTTTGATGCTGTTCTTTGTGACAGGAACCATCAACTTGTCCTTGAATCTGCGTATGCTCACGATTGCTTTACCTAATAAAGCAAGGATGAAGTGATGCTCAGTCAATGCTGAGACCAAGCCCCAAAGGGCCCTGTTCTCTATTGAACTGTGTGTTTTGCTTCTTAAGAGTCTTACATGTATTATATCTCATATTTTCCCTATTTTTCCACTCATCTGTTAACTGTGTGATAAACATGTGACAATGCTTATTTGTTTGTTTATAATTTTTGAATTTTTCTTTCCCTTTTTTTGATCTGTATAGTGTATGTATTTGTGTGCTTATGTGTGTGAGGAGTGCATGGACCCATGTGTGCGTTCATGTGTGAAAGCCAGAGATAGACCACTTCCAAGTGACTTTCTCTATTGATCTCCATCTTATTTTTCTGAGACAGGGTCTCTCACTGAACCTGGAGGTCACCAATTCAGCGAAGCAGGTCAGCAAGCTCCCTGGGTCTACCTGTCTCTGCCTCACCCCAGCACTGGGGTCAGGCATGTGCCACCACACTGGCTTTTATGTGGGGGCTGGTTGGGGATTCAAACTCAGATCTTTATGCTGTGCAGCAAGCACTTTTCCCACTGAGCCATGTCACTAGCCTCACTTTAGAATTAAAAGTTATGTTAGTTTTCCATCACTGAGACAAAATACCAGGGAAAATCACCTTATAATGAAGACTTACAAGCTGCACTTTCAGACTTATAGTGAGGCTGTACACAATGGCAGGGGAAGCTGTTCGTCTCCTAGTAGCTGAAAGGCAAAGAGAGAGACTCGAAGGGGCCAGAGTCCTAATATCTCCTTCGTAACATATCCCCAGTGACCTCACTTCCTTTTATCCAGTCCTTCTTCCAAAAGGTCCTTCCACTTCCCAATAGAGCTTAGACTAGTGACCTGGTCCTTGGAATTTCTTGTGAACTTATAAAAGTCATTTACTTTTCAAAATGACCTTTTTATCCTTTGCATATCTGGCATAGAATTAATTAACCTTGAACCTGCTCTATCCTGCCTCTGTTCTCCAGTGCTAGGATCACAGTCATGTGCTACCATGCCTGATCTTCCAGGATCGTCTTGGTTAGAAGCAGTTAAAACTCACTGCACCTACAAACGAGAAATCCGAACCAGAGCTCCTTAAAGCCTCTCACATCAGTAAGCCCAGTGTAGCTCACTAGTACTGAGAGACCCATGGTCTTGTTGGCCTTTTCTTCTGCCAGCTTCATCTAGATGCCGCCTCCTTCTCATCACAGAAGGGTACAGTAGTTTATATTCCAAGTAAGAATGGAAAAGAAAAGGACCTGGGACTACCTGTTTCTGGAAACTAAAACTTCCCACACAAAACCCTGAGCTGATATCGTATTGACCATGTGTATTACAGCTACTAGTGGGTTTGAAGGAGTGAATATTCCATCTTGGCATATTGCTTTTATTACCATAACACTGGAAATGGACTTGGGGACATGATGGTGAAAGGTCCTGATAAGACCACCATAGGTTGAAAGTGTCATGAGTTGAAAATGTATTCCATGCACCTGTAGAGTGTCACCGTTTAGCCTCACAGTGCCCTGGCATGGCAGTGTTTCCCCTTGTTGTTTCACCTTGAGGTGACACTGCTACCAGAGCTGAGACTCACTGTCACCACTGAACATCATTAGAGAGCAGCATACCGCATGCTGCCAGCCTGGGAATGGTCAAAATTCAAAATTCTAAGTATGGTTTCTGTGAAATGGGTATTGTTTTCATACCATCATAGACCTGAAGAAATCATAAATTAAGTCATTGCAAGTTAAGGGCCATCTGTAGTTTAAAAGTGCTGGAAATGGCTCAGCGGTTAAGAACACTGGCTGTTCTTGCAGAAGACCGGGTTCAAATCCCAGAACCCACATGGCAGCTAACAGCTGTCCATAGCTCCAGTTCCAGGGGATCTGACAGCGTCTTCTGTCCTCTGCGGGCATTGCATGATATGGGTGCACTTACCTACATGCAGGCAATACATGCATACACATAAAATAAAAATTTAAAAAAGGAAGTGCTAACCTCAAATCTGTTTCTTACTCTGTATGCTAAATCATGAGCTAGAAGTTTGAGGTTATTTTTCCAAAAGGCCTCTTTATTTTAATACCATATGTTCATTTTTTTTGTTTTTTTTTTGTGTATGTGTGTGTGTGTGTGTGTGTGTGTGTGTGTGTGTGTTGGTGTTCACATGTGACAGCATACATGTGGAGACTAGAGGAACAACCCAAGGGAGTCAGTTCTCTCTACTACTATTCTAACATTCCCCCCATCTGAAGAGGTAACCCTAAAGTCTTAAGGATTAGATACAAGCTCCAAAATACTTTCGACATTTTTGGCCTTTGGAACAGAGTATGTTGCTAAGAGGCCCAAGGACATTTTGGCTTTTAGCCAAGAAACTGGCTACTTTTCTTTGGGGTCTTTTTACACTAACTGCTTATCGTCTGAAGAGGTACCCAACTTGTGAATAGGTGTGGCTACTGCCAGCTGCGGCTGCCCCTCCACTCTTCCGGTGTTGGGTGTTGTCTCCAGGCGCTGCTCCTTCGCTCACACAGGGCACAGCCTGCAGCCCCTCTCCGTTCACATGGTGCTGATCGCATGGACACAGCCTGTGATCCCACAGGAGCTGCCTCCTGGGCCCCATGTCGGATCACAAGGGCGCCCCACAAGCAGCACACTGGCACTACCTCATGGGCGCCGCCTGCAATCGCACTGGCTTAGCATCCCTCTATTGGGTTCCTCCTCGTTTTTCTTTTCTCTGCCAAGGCTGAACTCAAGGGTGATGGATTCAGGATTTGCTTTCAGGTATTTTGATAGCTGTTGAAGTCGTTAGAATCAGTGTCAGTTCCCTCCCAAAGGCTTCTAGATAGGGGGAGAAAACAAATTTATCCAATCACTAAATGCTTATTTTATAAAAGGGAGGATTTGAATTTTATGATATAATGTGGTTCTATTGCTTATATAAGCCATATCTTAATACAGAAAACCATTACCTTTTAATTTGTGATGAGCTATCTTACCTACTCTCTTACACATTTCATTTGGTTTTGGTTTTGGTTTTGGTTTTGATGTGTGTGTGTGAGTATGTTCATGTGGTACATATGGGGTGCTGTGCATGGAAGCATTGCCACATAGACTAGGCTAACCCATAGGGACCCTCTAGGGATCTGCCTGTCTTTGCTTCTCATTTCACCATTGCTGGGATTACACGTTTGCTACCACAGCCGGCTTTTATTTGTTATTTGAGACCTGGCTACTATGGAGCTTGGGCTAGCCTCAAACTTGCAATCCTGGGGCTTCACCTTCCAAATGCTGACATTACAGGCATGTGGCATCACACCTGTCCTCTCTTAAAGCAGTTTCTAGAACTGCTTGATGTCATCTAGCTTCAGGCAAATGTTCCTTTTGGCTGTGCTGTTCATCAGTTGTCCTCCTCATTGCCCTGGTAGGACTGAAGACTAACAGTCTAAACAACAGTGCTAACAGGAATCGCTTCTGGATTCCAACTCCCACTGGCATGTCTTTAATGCCTCACTGATGTCTTCTGTTGGCTTTTGATTCAGCATATGTATTTTATCAAGGAAGTCTCTACTAAATTCTTTGTCAGCATCTATTGAGATAATTACATGTTTTTTCTCTGTGGGCTTACTGATATTCATGTTCAGATTGACACGCATTTTCCTACATTTTGGTATTTT